CAAGGTGCCTGAGGGCCAGGGTGTCTCCCCGCGGCCCGCCTCGTCCCGTGGCCTCTGTCCTGGGTCGCTGGCTGCGTCACAGGTACCCGAAGAGGCACCTGCGTCCCCGCTGGCCGCGGTGGGAGGAGCGCTGAGCCCAGGAGTTCAAGGCTGCGGTAGGCGATGACGCGGGGCAACACGCCAGACCCTGTCTCTAAAAAAGAACAATCCTGGTCAGGCTTGGTGGCTCAGCCTGTAATCCCTGCAATCCCGAGGCGAGTGGATTTTGAGTTTAAGACCAGCCGGGGCAACTCGGTGAGACTTCGTCTCTACAATAAATCAAAAAATTAGTAATTCAAGCTACTTGGAAGGCTGAGGCGGAAGGATCGCCGGAGCCCAGCAGGTCAAGGCTGCAGTGGCCGTGAGTGTGCCCCTGCACTCCAGCCTGGGCAACAGAGTGAGTCTCCAACTCAGAAAGAAAGAAAGAAAGAAAAATCCCGGTCTGTGGACCGCTTGTAGTTGTCACCACTCTCTCCCCTCCATTGCAGGTGTTTGCACCCTTTCCTCCCCTCCTGGGTGTCAAGTCAGTACTCCTAAAGAGACCCAGCCATCAGAGCCCACTATGGAATCCCCACGGCAGGCTCGGGGACCGAGCCAGTGAGCCTGCTTCCGTCAACCTGGGCCCCGGGGTCAGGGATGCAAACCCATGGCATCACCCACTCAGCCCAGATGTGCTCAGCTACTCTCCTAGGGAAGGTGCAGAAGCTGACCGTGTGCTCCAGTGGTTTGGGCTGTGCCAGATTTCTCCAACCTCCAACCTCCATTCCCACGGTGGCAGACAGCCGAAAGAGCCCGCTCATGTCTTCACTGGCACCGGGCAGAGGGCCCTGGAGGTGTGCTCATGGCGAAGTCCCTCCTTGGCCCCCAAGGCCTAGCGGAGTCCTACCCTGCCCTCACTCCATCTCAGGCAGTCCACTGGCTCTGGCTCTACCCCGCTGCTCTACTGCCAGACCCCTCAGGGCCCTTGACCATGCTGTGCTCTCTTCTGGAGGAGTCCCCAGGCTGCTCGCATGGCTGACTTACCCTTCGAGGCTTTCAGCTCTGGGACCCCTCAGAAGATCTGCCAAGCTGGGTTGCTCTCCGCTCCCCACCTCATAATACCCTCACCGAGATTTGTGAACATGTATTCATGCATTGGTTTGTTTAAGGGATGCCTTCCCCAGGTGGCAGAGAGCTCCACGAGGTCTTGTCTGTTGGCTGCTATTCCTAGCACCTAGAACCGTTTCTGGTTCACTGTGCGTGGGCTGTGGTCTGCTGGAGGGGCTGCATGAGTGAGCCCGCTGCAAGAATTCCCTGGGACAGAGGCACCACGCTGGGGAGTAGACAGGACCACAGGGCCCGTCTTTCCTCATAGGGTCCTGGACAGGGGGACGGTGGAGGAGATGAAGGGGGCAGGCAGGAATGTGACTCTGAGCCCCCAGTTTCATGTGCGTTCTAGCTACCTCCAGTTCCTAACAGGTCTGGGATACTGTAGGTGTTCCGTAAGGGTTGCTTTGTTGAACAGAAGGCAAACGCACATGTGGCTCTTCCAGACACTCTTGTCTGATCATCTCCTTTGATCCTCACAACCACCCTGAGAGGTGGCGTGATCACATCCCTGCTTCATAGGAGAGACATGAGCCCTGAGAAAGAAGGCATGTTGGTTCTGAGATGTGGCAGTAAATGCTGTTCACATCTTGCCAGAGCTCCAGAATGCTGTTACTTCTTATCACTGTCCTCTGACATTCTGACTCATCCCAGCTCATGGCTCTTGAAATCACCATGACCTGCAAGTCTTGTGAGGCTCCACTCTGGGTAGAGTGACGCTGCACAGAGCCTGCAGAGTGGGGAGTGGAGTGGGTGCTTGGCCTGCCATCCTTAGGCCAGAGGCTTCACTGTGCCTTCACCTAGAACCAGAGCCCCTTCGATGCAGTTTCCTGTGCCTGGAGTCTCTTCTAACACCCAGCACAGGAGTGAACACACACACCAGGAGTCAAAAAGCCCTAGGTCTTGCCTCTGGCTCTGACAAGCTAAATGATTTTGGACAAGTCACTCGATCTCTGAGTCTCTCTTTCCTCTACTATAAAAACCTTCGTGTTTGATGTTGACTTAATAGGATTTTGCTTTTAATTTTTTTCATGAACCACACGAGACTTAAGAATTTGGTTTTTAAAAGAAAAGAAAAAACAGAAATAACTATGCCAAAGAATGAGTACAGACTAAAAGTCTCCTGAATCATCTGCCCTCTCACCATACCCTGAGCCAATGATCTTACCATTTGCCACCTCCTAGAGCCATTTGGTCTCTCCTGGAAAAAACCAAGAAGCATCCCTTATTTACCCACAAACAACTAAAGTTTTAGTCATATATGGCTGGAATACACACACATACAGACAGCAGACATTGACATATTTATACCCAAAATACTACACTCTGGAACATATGCAGTGGGAGAGAGAGAGAGATCATAATTTGTCACACTCAGCCACCAGCTTCTCGAATTAAGCTGGAAGGGACCCCAGGGATTTAAGTCTAATCCAGTGCCTTCACTTTTTGTTGTTGTTGTTGTTGTTGTTGTTTTTTGAGTTGGAGTCTCACTCTGTCGCCCAGACTGGAGTGCAGTGGCCGCTTCTGGCCACCGCAGCCTTGACCTGCTGGGCTCTGGCAATTCTTCCGCCTCAGCCTTCCAAGTATCTGGAAATACAGGCGTGCGCTACCACGCCCGGCTAATTTTTAAAAAATTTTTATTGTAGAGATGAGGTCTCGCCAAGTTGCCCAGGTAGGTCTCGAAACCGCGGGTTCAGGCAATCCACTCACCTCAGCCTCCCAAAGGCACGGGATTACAGGCTGAGCCACCGAACCCAGCTGCCTTCACTTTTTAATCAAAGAACAGGCAGCTCAGAGAGAAGGATTGTCCTCCCCAAGGTTACCCTGTGAGGTCTGACCTAAGTTTTTGTTCTTGTTTTTGGAATAGAGGTCTCATTCCATTGCCCAGGCTGGAGTGCAGTGGCACAATCATGGCTCACTGCAGCCTTGAACTCCTGAGTTCAAGCGGTCCTCCCTGCCTCAGCTTCGAGTAGCTGGGACTACAGGCCCGTGACACCACACACGACTAATTTTTAAAAAAATTTTTGCCGGGCTCGGTGGCTCAGCCTGTAATCCCGCGTTTTGGGAGGCTGAGGTGAGTGGATTGCCTGAGCCCACGGGTTCGAGACGTGCCCGGGCAACTTGGTGGGACCTCATCTCTACAATAAATCAAAAAATTAGCCGGGCATGGTAGCGTGCGCCTATAGTTCCAGCTACTTGGAAGGCTGAGGTGGAAGGATCACCAGAGCCAAGCAGGTCAAGGCTGCAGTGGCCACTCCCGGCCACTGCACTCCAATCTGGGCGACAGAGTGAGACTCCAACTCAAAAAAAACAAAAAACAAAAACCCCAAAATATTAGCTGGGCACAGTGGCTTGCACCTGTGGTTCCAGCTACTTGGAAGGCTGAGTAGAAGGAGCACCTGAGCCCAGCAGGTGGAGGCTGTGGTGGTCGTGAACCTGGGCGACAGAGTGAGAGACTCCAACTCAAAAAAAAAAAAGAGGCTGCTTCACATCCCTGTCTTCTCTGACCTGCAGCCCCAGACTCTGTGGCTAATGCCAGGTCCACAGCACACCTGCCTCATTAAGTCTATCTCTTAAGGTTGTTATGAGGATTAAATATTTAATTTGAACTATGCCTGG